TGTTCCTTTACCTGTTTAACATTTAATTTTGCCCTCTGGCGCTTGACATTGATTTAATTTCTCTTTTTTTCACAGTCAATGCAATGAAGTGAACATTTGTTTTGTGAATTTGGCTAGTTCAAATAGGTTTTCCAACAGCAACCAGTGAAGTAACTTTTGTTGTTTCTTTAATATATTTTATTAGTTTTGCTCACATTCTGACTGTGTAGTCCATCTTTTGTTGTTGTTGTAGCTGTAGTCCATCTTTTGTTGTTGTTGTTGTTGTTTTTTTTACTAGCAGTAGTTTTAACCCCTTAAGGACCGACCTGTTTTTGCGATGTTGTACGTTAAGGACCAGATCGGTTTTAACACTTTTGTGGTGTTTGTGTTTAGCTGTAATTTTACGCTCTCTCATTTACGGTTCCCATACAAATTATTATATATTGTTTTTTTCAGGACTTTCTTTACATACCATTATTTGTATCATGTCATTTATTATTTTACTTTAACAAAAATAATAATAAAATGGTGAAAATTTAAAAAAAAAAACATGTTTTTGGACATTTACTTGAAAAAGCAGGACCCAGAACATGTACACAATACATAAGGAAAACATGAACGGGACATGGACATGACAGCACTGTACATGAACTGGGAATACAAGACAAAGTAAAACAAGACAAGAAATACAAGGCAAAACAAGGAGACATAACTAAGTACTAATATGTGCAATAAACATTGGAGATTTAGACATACATAAATGGCCAAGATGTATGCAGCCCACCACTGCGTCAAAGTACTCCAATTATGGTGGTTCCTAACTGCCTAGATATGCATGACTAAATAAACAATAATAAAACACACACAACACTTACCTGCAAAGAAAGGGGCAGAGGACATGAAGCCACTGCCTGCAGGAACCAACTAAAACAAAAGGATTAATGGCAAAGGAACGGGCGTGGCAACAAAAAAATAAACATTTAAAGGAATCCAATAGACTGGGAATTCCAGGAACGGAATAAAGGAATGAACCCAGAGAACCCAGCATAAAGAAAACCAGACATAGAATAGAAAACCAGAAAAACCAAGACAAACTGAACAAGAATTGTAAAAAGAGTACTGGATACCAGAAGCGATCCGCAGCCAGGAACAGGATGTGACAGATACACACACTGACACACATACAGCTGCACAGACACACTGATACACACACTGACTAGTATACAAATGTACAGACACACTGGTGCAAACACTGCTACCTATGCAGATACACAGATGGCAACACTGATATGCATACAGTTGAACAGACACACTGATAAACACTGCCACACATGCAGATACACACAGAGGTGTAACTAGAAACCACAGGGCCCGGTGCAAAAATTGCCCTGGGCCGCCCCATACATCTATCTGCTACCCCACACGTCCTCGCCCCCCACACATGTAGACAAGCAGATACAAATGCAGACACATACATACAGACACACAGAGATCCATGCATACAGACACATGTAGAGACACATACACTCATAAACTCACAGACACACACTCACAGACAAACACATACACTTACAGACACACACTCAGACACATACACATTCAGACACATACATACTCTTACAGACACACGCACATACACTCACAGAGAAACACATACACACACTCAAACACACACATACACATTCACACACACATTCACTTACAGACACACACACTGAGACACATATACACGTACACACACTCAGACACACAAATACCCTTACAGACACACATACAGACAATCACAGACAAACACATACACACATTCAGGCACCCTCACAGAGACACACATACATTTTCAGACACACACACATACAGTCACAAACAAACACATACACACACTCAGACACACACACATACATTTACAGACACCCACACATACACACACTGAGACACATACACTTACAAACACACACACATAGACTCAGACACACTCTGGCACACACATGCACACTTACAGATACACACAAATTATTAATAATTAATGTCCACCCAGCCTGGGGAGCTGGCGTGGACCTGTCCCTGGGGTTCAGTGCGGCGGGCGGCACAGTTCCTGTCACACACGGCATGGGGGGGGGGTCCATGACAGGGGGAACACAGAGGGGGCGGCATATAGGTGGCCCACGGTCGCAGGGGTCGTGGTTGCAGCCGGGCCCCCTGCAGTGAGGGGCCCGGTCGCAGCCGCGACCCCTGCAACCTTGGTAGGTACGCCACTGAATACACAGATACAAACACTGCCACATATACACATACATATGTACAGACACACAGATGCAAACACTGCTACACATGTAGATAGACAGATACAGACATACAGACACACACACACTGACACACAGGCAGAAACATAGACACACAGATACAATTACTGAGACACATACATATACACATACTGACATGCATGCAAATAAACAGACACAAATACACAGATACACACATAGATAAACAGGCATACAGATAAACACACATACAGATACAGACACATTAATATTCACACGATACAATGACACACACAGATACCAGGGCTGGCCCAAGACATTTTGCTGCCTGGGTCCAAGGATGAAAACCACGCCCACATTCATGATGTTGTATTATGATAATTAAAACCAAAATGAAATATATCATGATTAGATAAATACATTCCAGTAACATATTTAGATCAATGCACACTAAACTGAACATCACAGCATATACACTTCTGCAGTGGTATTAAAGTATTGGCTCTATCAAAAAAAGTCCACATGAAAGTTGCCCACGGAAAAAAAAACACTGTCATAAATGTCCACCAGAAAAATGCCTACATGAAATATTGCCCACACTGAAAATGCTCATAATGAAAAATGCCCACAAAGAAAAATACACATGCAGAATAAGGCGTTTCGGTGCTGTGATGCACCTTCGTCAGGGGCTGAATGGGAGAACCATTCAGCCCCTGACGAAGGTGCATCACAGCACCGAAACGCGCGTCGGGTTGAAGGAGGTTTTTCTCCTTCACTTTCACTCACTTTTTATTTTCACTTCTAGGGCACTATTTCACGATGTGTAGGTAACCAGCACTCTAAGCATGGTTCTACACATTAGCACTATTATTTCCTAATTTTTCACCTTTTCCTCCTGTCACTCCTGATATGCTATCTAGATTGGAACTATCTATTTGATTGAGGAATCTGGACTGGCTCTGTATGTATTTGAGGGGGCAACAGATACTCTTTGTACCCCATAGCGATTTAGGAAACCACTAACTTAAGATTTATCATTTATGACATATTTTGTGATTAATCTACGAATTTTCATGTAGACTTTTTTCCTTTTATTATATGTTACTTGGTATCCAGCTAAATGCTGTTATCCTTAATTGCTGATTGCTTAACTACACTCTTATTGTAGCTTTTTTGATACAGCGGGCTTTGCTACAAGTGTTACTTTATATACAGCCACTATTCAAAGTTCCTCCTTGACTGATTGTCTTTTCCATCTAGATTACAGGAGTTAATTTAAAGGCTCATTCCACAACCGCTTTTACTGTTGACGTGGACATACTATGGTTGATTATATTAAAGTCCTGAGTCTCAAATAGATTCTTTACGTCTAAGAGTCCTTTAGACAGGAGAAGAGCCATTTAGGCTATTTTAATCACTTGAATCTACGTATGAACCCTCTCTATATTCCGACATATTGATGGCAATTTTGATTTAATTATCTATTATTTACTAATATTTTGTCCAGCTGACAGTCCTGGTTCTGGTTTCAGTGACCAGTAACAGGAAAGTCATTTTCTAGTACTTCCATTTTGGGGTTATGCCCCTTGACACCACTGGAGTGTCATTTAAAGGTGTGACTGACCACTAGGAGGGTGGTATATTCAAGTCTGGAATAACCACTACCTTTGGCCTAGTCAATTTCTACAACTTTCTTAATGAAGCTGTTTAGCATATAGAGCGTGCCCCTGCAGCCTCACTGCTAATATCTCTGACATTTAGGATTTATATGACTTTGTTTATAGAGCCCTAGGCACTACAAAAGACTGGATATAACCCATTAGAATACCCTGGGTTGCCTATTTTTGCAAATGGTATGGCATCATGGGGGTAATTTTTAATTTCTGGGTTGCCATACAGTTCTCAAAGGCAACATAACCAATCTGGCAAATTTCAATGTGTTAAAAACAAAAATGGGCAAGCCCTATATTTGACCCTGTAACTTTCCAAAATCCCATGACTTTTGTACATGAATGGGTACTGTTGTACTTGTGACACATTGCTGAATACAAATATATGTGTTTTATAGCAGTGAAAGTTAACAGTATGTTGTGGACAGAATATTAACTTTAGTAAAATGCCTATTTACTGTGCATCTGTGTTCATTATTAACTGCTCAAAACTAGCTGCTAGGAGCAACCCCTTCCTCCTGTGTTCATTAACTTCTCAAACTGGCTGTTAGAACCTGCTCAAACTGGATGCTAGGAGTTATCCCTCCCATCGACTAACCACCCAATTTACAAGATGGCGCAGGAATGTGGAGGAGAATTGCATGATGGCAGTGACATCACCCCCTGTAGGCTGTACATTAGAGGAACCACTTAACACCTAACCAATTGTTGATGTATTTTCTCTGTTATCTATAATTATGCATATGATGTATTTCTGCTTTATAAGGGGCATACCGGCCCCCTGGATTAAAGATTCCTGAGGCATTTAATCAACCTGAAACTTGTGTCTGGTGTGAAATAACTTTGGGAGCGTGCACGCAATTATCTTATAATTTGGACAGGGGCAGATATACAAAATTATCAAACACTTGGTTCGGTCTTCAACAATTATCATGACATTAGTTAAAATGCAATGCAGGACTAATTTCTCAAACTGTTTAGATTTATTCATATTAAATTATGTTTCATATATAAATATTTGATGTGAAATTAAAGCCCTATTTCTACTGAAAAAAATTATATATAATTTGGTGTAGGTACACTTAATATGAAAGGTAAATTATGGTTCAACGTGTACAGTTCCCTCCATTCTTATGGGATTACAGCAGGGGCGTAGCTAGGGACCGTTGATGCAATATTCTACAGCCCCTGTGCAAGAATTAAAGTAGGGCCCCCTTGTCACTCCTCCTTGTGCATATTCCCGCTTCTCATCACTCCCCACTAAGCAATAAACATGGTTGAAATGTATGTGGTTTCTTTGTGTGACTGTACTGTGGCTGACTGAGTGTTGCAAATATGTTTGTAGTTGGATGAGTGTGAATGTGTTAGGGCTGGCTGAATGTGAATCTCTCTGTGGCCGGTTGAGAGGAAGACAAAGAAACAGAGAGGGAGAGAGAGAGAGAGGCACACAGAGAGAAGGAGAACCAGAGATAGCCAAAGGGAGACATAGCTACACATGTAAAGAAATAGAGAGACAGAGTGACAAAAGGAAAGGAGAGCCTGAGACATCTGGAAAGCTAGAGAGAGACACAGAGTGACAAAAGGAAAGGAGAGAAGGAGACAGCTAGAATGCTAGAGAGAGACAGTTATACAAGGAAAGGAAAGCCCGAGACAGCTGGAAAGCTAGAGTGTGACAAAAGGAAAGGAGACCATGAGACAGCTAGAGTGCTAGAGAGTGACAGGGAAAGGAGAGCCTTAGAAAGCTAGAGAGAGATGGAGAATGACATAAGGAAAGGAGAGCCGGAGAAAGATAGACAGTGACACAAGGAAAGGAGAGCCTGACACAGGTAGAAAATTACAGAGAGTGACGCAAGGAAAGGAGAGTCAGAGACAGCTGGAAAACTATAGAGAGACAGATAGGAAGTGAGACATACAGAAAGAAGTAGAGCCAGGAAAAGACGGCCTCATATGTGTGCAGGGAGAGGTGAGGTACAGTATTTCAGTCACCTTGATCCTCTGTGCCACTGCTGCAGGCTGGAACCCGGCTTTTTGGGTGCCTTAGTTAAAGGGGGACCTGGCCACCTTAATAGTATTTTTAACATTATAGGGTCAGGAAAACACATTTGTATTCCTTACCCTTTGTTGTTCCTTTACCTGTTTAACATTTAATTTTGCCCTCTGGCGCTTGACATTGATTTAATTTCTCTTTTTTTCACAGTCAATGCAATGAAGTGAACATTTGTTTTGTGAATTTGGCTAGTTCAAATAGGTTTTCCAACAGCAACCAGTGAAGTAACTTTTGTTGTTTCTTTAATATATTTTATTAGTTTTGCTCACATTCTGACTGTGTAGTCCATCTTTTGTTGTTGTTGTAGCTGTAGTCCATCTTTTGTTGTTGTTGTTGTTGTTGTTTTTTTTACTAGCAGTAGTTTTAACCCCTTAAGGACCGACCTGTTTTTGCGATGTTGTACGTTAAGGACCAGATCGGTTTTAACACTTTTGTGGTGTTTGTGTTTAGCTGTAATTTTACGCTCTCTCATTTACGGTTCCCATACAAATTATTATATATTGTTTTTTTCAGGACTTTCTTTACATACCATTATTTGTATCATGTCATTTATTATTTTACTTTAACAAAAATAATAATAAAATGGTGAAAATTTAAAAAAAAAAACATGTTTTTGGACATTTACTTGAAAAAGCAGGACCCAGAACATGTACACAATACATAAGGAAAACATGAACGGGACATGGACATGACAGCACTGTACATGAACTGGGAATACAAGACAAAGTAAAACAAGACAAGAAATACAAGGCAAAACAAGGAGACATAACTAAGTACTAATATGTGCAATAAACATTGGAGATTTAGACATACATAAATGGCCAAGATGTATGCAGCCCACCACTGCGTCAAAGTACTCCAATTATGGTGGTTCCTAACTGCCTAGATATGCATGACTAAATAAACAATAATAAAACACACACAACACTTACCTGCAAAGAAAGGGGCAGAGGACATGAAGCCACTGCCTGCAGGAACCAACTAAAACAAAAGGATTAATGGCAAAGGAACGGGCGTGGCAACAAAAAAATAAACATTTAAAGGAATCCAATAGACTGGGAATTCCAGGAACGGAATAAAGGAATGAACCCAGAGAACCCAGCATAAAGAAAACCAGACATAGAATAGAAAACCAGAAAAACCAAGACAAACTGAACAAGAATTGTAAAAAGAGTACTGGATACCAGAAGCGATCCGCAGCCAGGAACAGGATGTGACAGATACACACACTGACACACATACAGCTGCACAGACACACTGATACACACACTGACTAGTATACAAATGTACAGACACACTGGTGCAAACACTGCTACCTATGCAGATACACAGATGGCAACACTGATATGCATACAGTTGAACAGACACACTGATAAACACTGCCACACATGCAGATACACACAGAGGTGTAACTAGAAACCACAGGGCCCGGTGCAAAAATTGCCCTGGGCCGCCCCATACATCTATCTGCTACCCCACACGTCCTCGCCCCCCACACATGTAGACAAGCAGATACAAATGCAGACACATACATACAGACACACAGAGATCCATGCATACAGACACATGTAGAGACACATACACTCATAAACTCACAGACACACACTCACAGACAAACACATACACTTACAGACACACACTCAGACACATACACATTCAGACACATACATACTCTTACAGACACACGCACATACACTCACAGAGAAACACATACACACACTCAAACACACACATACACATTCACACACACATTCACTTACAGACACACACACTGAGACACATATACACGTACACACACTCAGACACACAAATACCCTTACAGACACACATACAGACAATCACAGACAAACACATACACACATTCAGGCACCCTCACAGAGACACACATACATTTTCAGACACACACACATACAGTCACAAACAAACACATACACACACTCAGACACACACACATACATTTACAGACACCCACACATACACACACTGAGACACATACACTTACAAACACACACACATAGACTCAGACACACTCTGGCACACACATACACACTTACAGATACACACAAATTATTAATAATTAATGTCCACCCAGCCTGGGGAGCTGGCGTGGACCTGTCCCTGGGGTTCAGTGCGGCGGGCGGCACAGTTCCTGTCACACACGGCATGGGGGGGGGGTCCATGACAGGGGGAACACAGAGGGGGCGGCATATAGGTGGCCCACGGTCGCAGGGGTCGTGGTTGCAGCCGGGCCCCCTGCAGTGAGGGGCCCGGTCGCAGCCGCGACCCCTGCAACCTTGGTAGGTACGCCACTGGATACACAGATACAAACACTGCCACATATACACATACATATGTACAGACACACAGATGCAAACACTGCTACACATGTAGATAGACAGATACAGACATACAGACACACACACACTGACACACAGGCAGAAACATAGACACACAGATACAATTACTGAGACACATACATATACACATACTGACATGCATGCAAATAAACAGACACAAATACACAGATACACACATAGATAAACAGGCATACAGATAAACACACATACAGATACAGACACATTAATATTCACACGATACAATGACACACACAGATACCAGGGCTGGCCCAAGACATTTTGCTGCCTGGGTCCAAGGATGAAAACCACGCCCACATTCATGATGTTGTATTATGATAATTAAAACCAAAATGAAATATATCATGATTAGATAAATACATTCCAGTAACATATTTAGATCAATGCACACTAAACTGAACATCACAGCATATACACTTCTGCAGTGGTATTAAAGTATTGGCTCTATCAAAAAAAGTCCACATGAAAGTTGCCCACGGAAAAAAAAACACTGTCATAAATGTCCACCAGAAAAATGCCTACATGAAATATTGCCCACACTGAAAATGCTCATAATGAAAAATGCCCACAAAGAAAAATACACATGCAGAATAAGGCCCACAAAGAAAAATGCCCACGCTGAATAATATGCACATATAGTAATTTTCCCATTCATGAGCATAAATAGGTTTATTACCTACATTTTATTTTGTTATCGATATCATATGATTAAACTATCTCATATTCATATGCAACAATTTGCATTGTGATTTTATAATGTATTATTAAATAATAATTTTGCTATGTTATAAGTATACTAATTCACTGCTAAACAAATGTGGCCTGTTTATGTATAGGGCTTTAACTCCTTAAGATCAGAGGCAATTGTACAAGTTCTGTCAAAAACAAATCCTAGAATTTGAGCTATATATGTCTGATCAACCATAATTTACCTCTTTTATATTAAAGGAAAAAAAACTCATTAGGCCCCCCCACCTTCAGTGCACCCCTCCCGCTGGGCTGAAGGGGTTAAAACCCCTTCAGCCACGTACCTTTCTCCAGTGCCGGGCTCCCTCAGCGCTGGTGACCTCTCTTCCCCCTGCCGACGTCAGCTCCAAATGCGCATGCGCAGCAAGAACCGCACACGCATTCATACAGCCCATAGGAAAGCATTCTTCAATGCTTTCCTATGGACGTCCAGCGTCTTCTCACTGTGATTTTCACAGTGAGAATTGCGGAAGCGCCTCTAGCAGCTGTCAGTGAGACAGCCATTAGAGGCTGGATTAACCCTCAATGAAACTGCTATGAACTGAAAGTGGTCTGGGTGCCTATAGTGGTCCTTTAAGTGTACTCACTCTTATTATATATCATTTTTTTCAGGAGAAATCAGGCTTTCATTTCACTTCAAATATTAATTTACATATGATATATAATTTAATTTGAATAAAAAAAAAAAAAGTGTGAGATAGTAAGAAATGTGGCTATTTTCCAACTTCTGCATGGCATTTTAACTGTGAATGTCAAACTACTCTCAGCTTTTACTGAAATAAAACTGACATAATTAAATTATTATTTAATTATACATCATAAAATCCAAATGCAAACAGTTGCATATGAATTTGAGATATTTTAATCATAAGATATCAATAACAAAATAAAATGTAGGTAATAAACCTATTCATGCTCATAAATGGGAAAATTACTATATGTGTATAATATTCAGTGTGGGCATTTATGGCAGTGCATTTTTTTCTGTGTGCAATTTTCATGTGGGCTTTTTTTCTGGTCATCTAAACTATTAGCTAAGTACAATATTAGTGATGTCCCAAACGGTTCGCCACGTACTCATCATTGAGTAAACTTTGACCCTGAACCTCACAGTCAGCAGACACATTCCAGCCAATCAGCAGCAGACCCTCCCTCCCAGACCCTCCCACCTCCTGGACAGCATCCATTGTGAAGCTGCATTCTTAGTGAGCTGTCCAGGAGGTGACTGTGAGGTACAGGGTCAAAGTTTACTCAATGATGAGTCCATGGCGAACCGTTCGTGGTGAACCGTTCGGCGAACAGTTCGGGACATCACTATACAATAAACATCAATCAAGTTAATTTGTCATGTGGGATGTATGCCATTAGTCTGGGGATGTAGTGTGTGTGCTGTGGATATAGTGTGCCTGTGTGTGTGATGGGTATGCAATGTGCCTGTGTGTGTGCTGGGGATGTAGTGTGTTTTTCTGTGTGTGCTATTGATGTGTGTCTGTGTGTGTGTGCTGGGGATGCAGTATGTCTGTGTGTGTGCTGGGGAGGCAGTATGTCTGTGTGTGTGTGCTGGGGGTGTAGTGTGTGTGTGTGTCCTAGGGATGTAGTTTGTCTGTGTGTGTCCTAGGGATGTAGTGTATGTGTGTGTGTGTGTGTACTGGGGTTAAAGTGTGTGCTGGGGATGTAGTGTGTCTGTGTGTGTGCTGGGTATCTAGTGTGTCCATGTGTGTGCTGGGAAAGCGTGTCTATGTGTGTGCTGGGGATGTAGTGTGTGTGTGTGTGCTGGGATTGGAATTCCTATGTGCAGCACACTGTGTGGATTAAAGCTAATAATTACTTATCCTTTCAGTATTCGTGGTGCGGTGTACCCTAGCTGAAGTGGAGGCTGAAATGACTCCTTGTGGCCCTGCTCCTCTAGTCTTCACCATTAATGACTCAGTCCGACTCCTGCAGTCCTGCGTGTCCCGCCGCCTGTGCTGGCTATGTAGCTGTTACAGCACACATAGCCAGACACAAAGGGGAATTCAGCCGCTCCTTGGAGCCATTTCACAGCAACAGCCCTGCCGAAAAATTGCTGTAAGTAAAGTTCCCACTAAAGTTCCAGCACGCAGAAGTAGTAATCACAGAGTGCAGGAAGTACAGTGGAAAATGTGTCATAACCCTGAGGACCCAGCAAGCCCGCTCTCCAGACGACTGTGGCAAAACTAGCCACTGATTTGTATGAAAGACTGAGTTGGTTTGACTATTTGAGGCTGCCGAACAGAATAAAGACATAATGTTCGTCAGGAAAACCAACTACCGAACGGGGAGACAACCCCGTTGTTTGCCAGTCGTGTGCCTTTCAATTGACTATGTTCACAACAAGAAATCGCAAGCTTTCATATGGTCAGATAGGTGGCCGCCATTCGTATGACCGTAGTGGCGGCCATTTTTGCTCACGAACATACATCGTTTGGTCGTTGAGCGCATGGAACCATAATCGCACACTCAACGGCACGAACACCGCTGAACTTCCATCCTTTTCGTATTTTCGTTCCCCTTCACCTATACATGAATTAAATTAATGAACACAAGGCACACGTCAAACTATTGATCAGTTGCATTCATTAGTTTAATACTAAAAACTCCCGAAAGAAGACCAGTCAAAGCATACAATCACATGGAACTGTTTTGGGGCTTCACCTCGTGGTTGACCGATCTAAACTTTACTCGGATGGTGTTCCTATTCTACAGAACGGATCAGAGCAGTATTTAGACAGAGTGGGTACTCAGATCCCTGCTATTCTGTGAAGTATCTTTTGTGAAGTTATGACGAATATTATAGGAGTTATGATTGCTTGAAATATTGTTTAATTTTCTGTACTTGGGGGATGATCTAATTAAATAATTGTCCTTACGCAATTATCTTCCAAGTACAGAAAGGTAGTCTGGGAAATGTTTCTTTGTTACCTGTCCCCACCAAGGTCCACCAGGGGAAATGTAATTGGAATTGGAATGGAATGTAATTAAAGATACCCCTTGCATGGCGAATTGTATAAAAGCCAGCTGTGGCTCAATAAAAACCAGTTGACTCCCAAACCTGTGTATCGTCCGGTTATTGGGGAATTTGCCCCCCCGGAATGTAATTAAAGATACCCTTGCATGGGGAATTGGATAAAAGCCAACTGTGGCTCAATAAAAAACGGTTGACTCCCAAACCTGTATATCGTCCGGTTATTGGAGAATTTGCATAGGATTGCAGAGTGCTACGCTTCTCTTGGATATTACTTAAGTCTACCAGCGGAGATATTGATGTGAATACTGAATACTGCAGCTCCGCTACAACGACTGATTTTTTTTTTTTTTTTTAGTGGCCTCCAAGCCCTACCCAGCGGACAAGCTGATC